CGGTACATTAAAGCATGTTCATAGCATGCACAGCCTTTATTTACAGATGACAGAAATAGCCTACTCATCCCCAGTTATGAGAAGCAACAGTGTCTTCAGATGTTATCAAGGAGTCCCAGGGAAGACAAATATCACATAAACAAAAAACTCTTGCTATAGGGGGACCCCAAGTGGCTTAGTATTCCCAAACCCATTCCAGTTCAAGTGAGGACTCAGGAGCTCTAAGGGCTCACTGCTTAGAGCGTTTTAGCCAGGAGGCTTGTGTCACATTCACTCTGGACATTCATTAGTGACTCCAAATTCCTAATAGTCTTAGAAACCAAACATGACAGGAAGCTTTGAAAATACCATATTGTCTAAGTCCAATGAGAATCATCTTGAGGTCTTCTTCACCAAGCTCATTCTTCCATCTAGCTATATATGCTCACTGGGAACCTACCATATTGTCTCTTGAGACTGATGTCTTGGCTTTGCCCCTCCCCTTTCCTCTCATCTTCTCCCACTGTGCCTGGCCCATTACCTTCCTACCATCTTCTAGTAGAATTCCTGCTTATCCTCCAGCTTTCCGCTTCAGCCCTGCCTCCTCTGTGAAATCTTCCTGTGTTCTCCCAGGCAGACACAGGCATTCTTTTCTAGACGTTTCCTATAATAGGGCTTGGCTCCTCTAGTTCCTTGAATGAACGATTCGTTCTGGGTACATGATAAGTGCATCAAGGAAACAGACTTCCCCTCTCTACTTCTGCGAAGCACCTGGCTTTCCATATTTTGCGGCAGTTTTTGAAATCCTCTGGCTTGAGGATTTCCCTGAGGGGTCACTGGAGTCTGCCTTGCTTCTGTCCTTTTCCCATCTGGCATCTTTTCTCCGTCTTCTCATGTGTTGGGCTTTCCCTGACAACAGTGGAACCAGAAAAAGGCTTTCTGATTGTTTACTAGGACTGATCAACTTCAGCTTGCTTCTCTTGAGGTTCCAAATGCATGGGGGAAAAAATGCCTTCCAGACTGCTGCCTTTTTCTCCCCCTTCCTTTCAGTTTCTGTTCCCTCTAAAATCATTTTAGGGCCATGGCTATTCCCCACCACACTTCAGCTGTGTCCTTGCTGGAGATCCTCTCACTGTACACTCAGCCAGGTAAGGAGCAGGTAGTAAAGGATATCATTTGTCCCACAGTAAATTCAGGGGAGGTTAGAGTACGTGATAAGTAATAGAGCCTAGAAGAATCTGGGGGAAGAATCAAGAAATCCTTATATGGAGGGACAATTTCCTAAACGTCAAATTCAAAATAAGAAAGATCTTCCTTTTGCCAAGGAGACATTCTGGATAATCTTTGCCATCTGGAAGCATCATTTAATGACAATCCAGATTTTCCTGTCTCCACCCCTGAAGTGACCATCCCACACTTAACCACAAACTCTGCATATTATAATGCATATTAATAGTAAAAGCTCCAGGGTCTTCATCTATCCCACGCCATGAGATATTTACATTTTCCTCATCTTCCTCAGTCATCACATCACATCACTATGGAAGTTAGAAACTATCTGCTTCCTAGATGAAGAAATTAGAGATCATAAAATTAAAATAAAATGACCTGTGTGTCCCTCTTACTATAATTCATATTCCAGATTTCCTGAAGCCTAAGTCTTGGCAGTTTCCATCCAATTTTATGATGTATTTTAATAAATGATATCTGGTTATATGCATCTCTACCCATTTAGCAATGCCTTTCTTCCTGTTTCCCCTGATTGACCTTCCCCACCCCTATATGCAATAGAATTTTCACCTCCCTTGGGTCAGTGTCTGTCTCTGCTCCCTTTTATATGTATATGACCTGAAATGTATGGACTCAGTGAACATTTTGAGTCTGTGATCTGAATAGTCTACTAGTCATGGAACCAAGACTCCTATGAACCCAAAAATTATTGTCTAATTAGACAATTGAAAAAAATCAGGTGATATTGCAAATGAGAGAAAAACAAAATATCCATCTCCACTCTATTATCTTCCCCAAAATAAAATTAAAAAGTTCCTGCGCCCCAGTAAGCCTTTCCACTGACACAATAATTAGAATCAGGGCCAAATTAGAAAAAGCCCAGGTTTAATGGACACAAATGTTCCTACCTGGCTTTCTAGACTCCCAGAAAGGAGACAAGAAAGGAAAACTGGAAAAGCATGTTTGTTCTCTAGGGGACAATTTAAATACCCTGTGGGAGTGGTCTTGAGTATCCCTGGAGGGGTCATGGTTTGGTGAGCTTTCTCTGAGGTGGAGTCTGGATTGAGGCAACTCCCAGGGGAGGGGATTTGTGATGGATCTTCTGCCTGAACATTCCAGACTCTTTGGATATATTGATGCCAGGGGCTGGGGTGAGGCTTCCACCCAAACAAAAATAAGTTAGAACAATTTCCCCAAATACCAGGCCAGCAGGTCAAAACTGAAGTCCAAGCAATGATGGCATGAGTACTCTGGGCATCTTTCACCTAGGGTTCTCCATCTTTCACAACCACGCTTATCTTTGCCATGTGAGATGATATCTGTGTACATTTTGTAATGTAGGATTGTGGATGGCTCTCTTAGACGTTCTCTGGAGGAAGCCATGCAGCTTGGGTTGACTGATGCTATATCTAGGCTTTATACTGGTTCCCGGAAGCTATTGAAGGCCAACACTGGTGGAAGAAATTTTAACTCCTTGGATTAGTATAACTTGAACTTGAAACCCACTTTCAAGAGAGTTTCAAGGAGATAGTTTCCTGACTGGGCCTGAGCTATTGAACGTATTTTTGTTCATTTTGTTTTGTTTTGTTTTTTCCCTCATCTTTTCATGGGGGGAATAGAGTATTTCAACCCTGCAGGGACTTGGTTCTAATTTTCTGCCTCTTTTAAGAATAAAGAGCCTTTCTTCATGCGCTACAGCACCATTTCAACAGGAACCATTTAATTATGACTTTCAAATGCTCCTTTCCATCCCCCATTCCTGTCAGTTTCAGCCACAGCTCTTGTTTAGGGGTGTGAGTGGCCTCAGCTTGCCTGCTGGGAATGACCTTTTCTTTTGAGTTTAAGTACACAGCTTGAAAAGAATGTGTGTTGGATACTCGCCATCCTTTAAGCCAGCCCAGGAAACACCTGCATTCCAGGCAGGACTTCTGCCTGCTCTTTGTGAATGTCTGTGTCTCCAAGCCAGTGTGTTCTGCATTGTCTCAAGTTCTCACTTACAGACAGGGGAGTGAAACTAAGCTGTGGGGAGATATCACACAGACCATTAAAGCCAGAGCCTTGAGAATTCTTAGGACATTCATTCCAGATGAATCAAATCAGTGGCTTCTGGTGGGTCAAGTGGAGGCACTGCCTATATAGTTGAAAGTCATCCTTACTTACTGCTTTCATCCTTTCCAGCAATGTTCTAACTTAGATGGCTTGGAGTTTTAACCTTCGAATCAGCTCAACAGTCAGCGACCAAATATCATCCCATGGTGACTTCTGGTATTGAGGATACCAGATGTTCCTAGGAGTTATCTTGGCATGGTTCAACCTTTTATGATGCAGGGTTTAAGATTAAACTTGACTATTTTTTTGGATGCACTGGTAGTCTAGTTCCAGGGTTAGTAAAACATATTTATCAATGAACCATTATAAGAGAGCACACGTGTGTTTTATAAACTATTTGCACCAAGTATCCTCTGTGAATGATAAAGCATGCATTTGCTATTCAATATTTCATTCGGTGTTCCCATGTGTTTGATAGATGGTGGATTTCCATAGCGACACCTATCACAATATATTCTGCCACTTATTTCCTACCTGAATATAAACCTCATGAAACAAATGTGACATGTGTCTAATTGACTAATGCCTCTCCACAGCATGGTCTGATATACAGTCACATTCAATAAATACCAAATAAGTGAATGGGCAAATTGGAAGGAGGAATTATCCTTGCTATGAAGCTCAATGTTGTAAAGACGTGATGCTCAATTGTTCACACGTATACTTCAAAAAAATCCATTCACCATCTAATATCACATGGAGGGTGAGGGTGAGATAACACATCTCTCTGCCTACGTGGGTATTAGAATACCATTTCATGATTTCTTCCAGGGCCACCTGGATTTTACTATATATACCATACTGTATGTTATTTTACCTATTTGAAATACGACATGAATGTGTACATGGTGACACCCTTACTAAGGCATAGTACATCACTCCCCATCATCTATAAATGGATCCCTCACCCTTGGGAAGTCAGTGTGTTCTGTGATCTGTCCTCTATCTTGTAAAATTGTATTTTCCTGGATTCTCCCGGGTCATGTTATTGTCACCGCTATAGTTGTCTTCCTTCACAAAACTCTCATTCCTCTTTGCTCAGTGTTCTGAAGATAAGTCTTTTACTTAGGATGGAGACAAATTAAAACACCATCTTATCCAGAAAGGCTCCCCCTCCCCTCCTTCACTAGTGCAGTAGACACTGATTGTTGGGAACTGGACACAGGGCAGCTCTATTGGTCAGTTTCTCCTGTCAACTTGACACAACCGAGGTTTTGTCTAGATCAGGTTGGCCTGTGGGTAAGTCTATGGGCAATTATCTTGCTTTTAATTGATTCAGCCCATTTTGAGATGCACCAATTCCTAGGCTGGCACCCCCGAACAGTGTAAGAATAAAAAATCTAGCTGAGCAGAAACAAGCAGTTGGTATGGGTGGACTTCTTTCTTTTAAATATTGCCGGGCGGGGGGGTGCTCTGTGACTAGCTGCTTGAGGTATTTTCTTAACTTACTCAAAATGATGGTCTGTAACCTGGAACTCTGAGCCAAATAAAACTTTTCCTCTTAAATTGCTTTAGGTCAGGGTATCTCATCACTACAACAGCATCACTGGATACACACACACACACACACACACACACACACACACACACACACACACACGGAGAGAGAGAGTGCGAGAGGGAGAGAGGGAGAGGGAGAGAGGGAGAGAGAGGGAGAAAGACCAACTCTTTTGCTTTCCCAGGAAGTGATCTGGACGGTTCTTCCCTGAGTGATGGATGGGAGTCTCAGAAGCCAATCACAGACACTTCAGAAGCCTCCTCTTCTGGCCACATCCTGTCTCAGCATCTCAAAGAAAGTTCTGAGAATTCCTCTCTTCAGCCTCAGACAAGAACATCAGGACATTTCCCAGAGAACATTTCGGTGCATTCAAGTGAGTCCTTTTTAATCTTTGCCACACCCAAAGAATTCGTTCTTCTTGCCATCTGAGAACGAGGTAACAGTGACTAACATGTGCTAAGGAACTGGTATCAACCTGCTCGAGGAAGGGGAAACCTAGGCTCCTGAGGTGTGCAGATGACGCAGAGGAAGTGCCTGCCTTTGAGTGTAGTCATGAAGTCCTCAGCAGCCCTGAGTTTACAGTGCCTTCTTTTTCAAGGACCTTGATGCCTGACAAACATTAGGTTTTGATAAAACTGAGACGGAGCACAGGTTTTGATTATTGGAGTCTTGATTTTGAGCTATGTGCTTAACATACTCAAAAAGAAGAGAAACACTGAAGAAATAAGAGAAGAAAAACACACCTTTTAGTGCTAGGCCCCCAGGAAGGAAAATGGTATTTAGCTCTTGGTATATCCTTACGTGTGTAATGGAAGAAGCTCACCGGTGTGCTGCCGACTCCAGTTTTTCAGTAGCACATTAATGATGTTTTCACGCAGTCTCATCCAGGGGGAAGAGCCGAGCTGGTTCTGTTGAGTTTGCCGAGTATTTAAGTTCAGGCCTCCACTCATAATTTATAGCTCTATGAGCCACCATAGGAAAAAAAATGTACTAGGCTCTGAAAAGCTTTTGCACACCGATAAGCCTACCTATTTAATAATTCAAATCAGACCAAATCAAACCAAATTAGAAAAAACCCAGGTTTAATGGATACCAATTTTCCTGGGTGGCCTTCCAGCACCCAAAAGAGGAGGTGGGGAAGGAAGACAGGAAAACCACGTGTTCTCTGGGGTACAATTTAATTACCCTGTGGGAGTGGTCTTGAGCATCTCTGGGGAGGGGTCATTGTTTGGCAGGCTTTCTCAAAGGTGGAGTGTGGACTGAAGCAACTCCAAGGGGTGGGGGTTTGGAATGGAACTTCCATCCAGACATTCCAGACTCTTTGGATATATGGTTGCTAGGGGGTATGGTGTGGCTTTAAACCAAACATTCCAGATTCTTTGGGTATATGGATGTCAGGGGCTAAGGTGACACTTCCAACCAAACATCCCAGACTCTTTGGATATAGGGGTGCTAGCTCAAGTCTGGTTACTTCCTGCGGGCATGGGGCAATGTGGGGGAGGGGAGAGTTGGCAGTTGGTGGGCTCACATTCAGCGGGAGGTGTGGTTGGAGAGGCATCTGATTAACTGCTATTCTGTCAGGCATCTGTTTCTTTAAGGAGATGAGAAGGCAGGTTGCTAGGAGAAAAAAATAGATTGTTATTACTGGTCCTATAAATGGGGCTAGCCATGGGAAGGGGGATGAGCTACCAGAAAAAACTGCCCTAGTTGTACAGGAGAGGCGCTGGTGAATAAGTGAGGCATGAGACCTGATATGCCCTTTAAAACAAGATTTTAGTTGTTGGGTAGGTGCCCATTTTAGCCAGGAGAGGTGGTACCAATGGTGAAGTTCTAGGAGCATTATCTACAGGGCCCTCTGTAAGTTGATCTTGGTCCAGACAACAGAAGTGACGTGTATAATATGCTTGAAAATGGGTAGGATCAAAATAGCCTCTGGAGACTGTTTTCACCAGACCAGGTTTCTGGATACAGCAGCAGAACTTTTCCAAGGAACCTGTAGGTATCTGTAAGACAGCTGGAACAGTATTACATCTTGGTGCCATAGCAGACTTTAGGTTAAAAGGCACAAGCATTTTAGAAGACAATTAAAGGAAATTGGAAATGTTGAACCTCTGAAGATAAATCTTAAACCTGTTAATTTTGGACTATGAAGCCTGTGAAAGAGGTACATCTGTCTGTATTTTTACCTGGGAGTTTAACAAAGGAAGTAATGAGCTCCTAGTACCTTAAGTCATTAAATGGCATCAGACAGCTTTTTTTTTTCAGCTACGCAGCAGGCAATCCCAAGATTCTCTGTGGTCTTTGACAAATACCAGTTTTAGAAGCAGTACTTGCCTTTGGTTGCTGAGCCCAGGAGGCATGGTGGATTTTCCTGCAGGGGTAGGGTTCAGTCTACCTGTCTTGGCAGGATGAGATGATTGATCCCTCAGTGTAGTATCCAGGAAGTAGATGAGGTGGAAGGCAACTTTTTGCTGTGTGAGTGGCTTTGCCATATCCAAAGGCAAGCCTCCTGGCAGAAGGTCTTCCACAAGCATGCATCTTCTTGGAGAAGTTATAGGATGCTGCAGAAGCTGACATGTCTCTCTGTCATAAGAAGCTTTTCTGTTAAATGTCATACTCTTCAGATCTGCAAAGGTACTTGAGAGTCAGGGTACCACTTCCCGTCATGTATATATCTAAATTAGACATAAGTTAAATTTGGACATATAGTTTACCCAATCAGTTACAGCTTATCAATGTCAGTAGAGGCAAGAAGATTAGAAAGAATATTTTAGTAAGCCAAAGTATATTGGAGGCAGAATGTCTCCTTGATAGGGCCAGCATATGTGGGTACTCTTAGCAAAGATGGCGCTGAGGTTTGGACTTTGACCTCAACCAATAATGGTGGCTATCCACGTGTTTGTATTTTTCCAGAGCTCAGAGCAATCTGGAGTTACAAGTTTTACAGATTTTAAAACAAGCACACATACACACACAGACATAAAACAAGCATACCGTGGTCATATTGTTTACACATATATATTAACAGACAGATGAACAAAGCTTTTTTTAGGAACCCGTGTCAGCTGACCAACTTAAAAATTTTAGAATAGGCTGCTGAAACCAGGCAAGTACACAGGTTATCCCATTATGGATCAGATCAGTAGATGCTGTAAGGGAGAACAAAATCAAAAGGATGGAACACCTATGCAGTTTTAGAGTGGAAGGGCAGGGGGAGCAGATCCATTGTAGTGAGAATCCCACCGTGACCACATGCCAGGAATGCAGACAAACAGTGAACAGCAAAGAGAGAGGTGGGGAGAGGGAGTGGGAGCCCAGCATCCAGAAACTCTGGGCATTGGGGGTGGGAGTTGTTTCCTTGTTCTCATGCCTGCAAAAAAATTTAGGCATTAAGGACATATGGTGATAGATAGCCACAACTGAAAAAGACTTTGTTAAATTGGCTGACTTAATAGGCCGCGCAAGAGCATTTGAAGATTAGGTCTCGAATTGTAGGTAACCATTCTGCAAAGCTATCCCAGGATCCATAGCCTAGAGCAATACATCCACTGTGGTAGACTTTGGATCAAGAAAACAGAGGGGGGTAAGCAATACCTACAACAGAGCATCTCCTGAAAAAGGAATCCCACATGGACAAGGCAGGCCCTTGTCCCGATCAGGTGGGGCGCCAGGTGTGGCCACTTCTTTCGTAGGACAGTCCAAAAATTGCATGAGGCCCTGGGCTTCTAAGGCAATGTCTTGGAACTAGGAACTTACCCAGAAAATGCCACGCTTAGCTTGACGGGGAGCGGGTGCAAGGGAGGGTGCTTTCTTACCATGTGGCCCTGGGCAGGTGAGAAAAACAGCCCCTTTGGTGGGACCTCCAGATGGAAAGTTTCTGCACCCCGATAAACCTCTCCACCAATGCAATAATCCATATCAGACCAAATCAATCCAAATTAGAAAAGCCTCGGTTTAATGGATACCAGTGCTCCCAGGTGGCCTTCTAGCCCCCCAGAGAGGAGACTGGAAAGGGAGACCAGAAAACCATGTGTTTGTTCTCCGGGGTACAATTTAAATACCCTGTGGGAGTGGTCTTGAGCATCTCTGGGGAGAGGACATCATTTGGCAGATTTTCTCCGAGGTAGAGTCTAGACTGAGGCAACTCCCAGGGGAGGGGGCTTGGGATGGAACGTTCATCCGAACATTTCAAACTCCTTGGATATATGGATTCCAGGGGCTGTGGTGTGGCACCAACCTAAACAGACTCTGCAAGCAGGTTGCCTAACTCTAACATTTAATCCTGCATCTGTGCAAAGAGACAATCCTACTTCTTACTTTGCAGTGTCTAAAATGGCCCAAACGATTTAATGTGTCTTGTCCACATAAATACTGAACAGATTTGAGGTTATCATTGCAGGGGGCTTGAGTGGACACGATCTCGTCTTTATTTACCTTGATAAACTACGAATGAATAGTGTCCCATCGAGCATCCCTCCAAAGGCTCACTCATATGCCCTGTGCTTTATATTCTCACTGCAGCTGTTCAGGAACTGCTCAAGGTTCTTTAAGTTCCCCATACAGGAGTTTCAATAACAGAAAAGCTAGCTTTGAGTTCCTGGTTAAGTGCCAGGCTATCAATACCTACTGAGATTTCGCAACCACCTCTTCCAGGGAGTCTAACCTTTACAACTCTGCTGCCCAAAACTCCTCTTTCTCATGCTCATGAGCTGCATCACTATTGCATGCTTGTCTATATTTCTCCTCATGCTCTTGCTGTAACTGGGGTGTCTGTTGAGCCTGCTGTACAAGTTGGCCCCTGTTCTTCATCAAAGCCCACTCTAAATGGGAATACCTCTGATGGGCCTTCTTTATCTCTTCCCGGTTTGGCGCGGGAGAATTGTCTGTATTCTGTCAATCATGTTTTAAATAAACGCTGATTGGTCAGGCAGGAGGTGTAGGTGGGAAAACCAGACAGGAAGTGGAAATGATGCAAGGAGAGCAGGAGAATTCTGGGGAGGAGGAAGTTGATTCCTCGCACTCCTGCCCAGATAACTGAAGCAGCAGGATGTGAGGTGTCCCACTGAAAAAGGTATTGAGCCACATGGCTAACATAGATCAGAAAAATGGGTTAATCAAGTTGTGAGAGTTAGCCAGTAAGAAGCCTGACCTAAGGGGCCAATCAACATTATAACTTATAGAGATTTCTGTGTGGTTTTTCTCTGGGACTAAACAGCTGGGGGGGTCGGGCAGAACCAAGAGCCCAAACAAGCAGGCTCCCTCCATGTTGCACCGGTGGCAGATGAAATAAAGTATTTGCCTATGATTCCAGGGCACTTTGCATGTACAGCTTCACTGAAATATTTATTGTCCTTTATCACTGGGCTCTGACTTGCTTGGCCATCTCCATCATTTCTGCTCTCTATGTGTAGGACCTGAGTGAGCATTCTGTTCCAGGTGGCACAGAAGATGCTAAGAACACTGGCCTGCATCATTATTTGTATTAGTCATGACTTTTGAGTTCCAGGCCTAAGTTACAGAGATAGGATGTACTGTCTCATGCAAGTGCTAATTCCTAGCAGAGACCCTTTTCCCAGTCTTTGCCTCCCTGCCCTCTCTTTTGTGTTGGTGTTGTTCCTCGGAGCCCATCTTCTCATGATGGTTCCTTGTGAGTCTGCAAACACATACCTTTCAGATTTCTAATCTGTCAAAAGAGATTTCATTCATTTAGAGTTATGATATGAGACCTGAAATTGTTACATCAGTTCTGGGAGGATTCCATTTTCATGGCAAAAGCAGTCACTTTCTTGATGAGTGAGGTTCCAGAAGTCATTGAATGGGTCAGATGCTGGGATGAAAAACAAAAGAAATTAGCTGGTCCACCCTCTAGTAGAAAAAAGTGATTCCACACCAAGAATAGGCATTGCCTTCAAAACCTGGAGGTAGATGGTGTTATACATATACATACATACATATATATATACATACATATATATATATATTTATTTGAGGGGGAATAGAGAAATGAAACAAAAAAATCTTAAATGTGAAAAGATGTTAAAGTAAATAGAAGGTGGTAAAGGGGGAGGACAGAGAAAGAGCATCTACAGATTGGGAGAAGCCAGATTCTTGATGAGATAAGTCAAAATAGGTACCAAGTCAATTGCCACTGAAGGAGCAATGAACATCAGGTCCAAAGTCACACAACTGATTTCTTTATCAAATTCAAAGAGACACCCACTCAGCCTTCTGTGTGCACAGCCAGGGATCTTTGCTGTGTCTCAAGCTGGATTTATTTCCCTAATTGCCCATGAAATCTGGATAGATAGAGAATCCAAACACACGTTAGAGGGATGATTGACATTCCACTGAACCCTCGATAATTTATTTAATTCATACAGTATACATAAATCCTCCACACTTTGAGTGACATAATTTACTCCTGCTCCAGTTTGAATTGCCAGACTTCAGGATTCCACCCGCACCAGGGGCTCAGTGAGATTTATAGCTAACGCTACCCGATATTCAGCAAAAATCACAAAAATAAAAACACTCACAGTAAAACACCTTCTGAGTTTTAGACAACTATTGTAAAATTAAGCCCCTGAAGCCTTTGGGGGAAATTAAATTGAAATCTATTCATAGATATTTTTTAAAGTCCTCATGTGGTGGTAATCTAACTCAGCTCTGATTACTTACAGGTGTTAGTCTGAGCCTCAAGGTCATGATTGTCATGATTCTTGTGGCTGTAACTGCTGGAAACTTTGTACTTCTTTCTACCATGATTTGACAATGTTGAAATAGTTCAGTGCTTTCAGAGTTTTGAAAGGACTATTTCATAATACATATTTTTTTTGTCTCTTTGGTCTTTAGAGATTTCCAGTATGCGAAGTTGCTATTGTCTTTCTATGCCTCATTTCAGACAAAACATTATGTCCTGTCTAGATGTGGTTTTTAAATCTTGGTGCTGGCACCTCATAGCTGTCTGATCTTGGACTATTGCATCATGTCTCTCAGTCTTGGTCTACTCATCCACAAAACCCAGATAATGCTCCCTGCTTTGCATGGTTTGGGGCTGATGAAATAAGCTAACGTATGAAAAGTGAATAACAAAGCGCTCTGTAAATTGTAGGCGGTTTTATTATTGTTGTGGCTGGCACAGTCATAATCATCATCACATTTTAAGAGTTCTGATTTTAGCATAAACTACAAAGGTTTCCTCCAATATCAAAGCAAACAGTAAGGCTGGGGCATTTAGAACATAGACTCTTGTTTTGTTATAAAAGGAATTTTTTTTCATTGTCTGTGGAATTTTCTAATCAATGGATTCATATAATGTGACATAATTTTTAAGAAAAGATCTTTCAAATTTATGAGTATATGTACATATATGCATGAGCTTATAGGTACCATGTCTGTGCAGGAGTCAACAGAGGCCAAAAGAAAGCATAAGATCCCATGGAACTAGAGATGTGAGCTACCTACCATATAGGTACTAGGCGTGCCCTTAAACACTGAGTCATCATTCCACCTCCACTGGGCCTGATTTTGTCTTGTTATTGATGGTCAATTGTTTAAACTGGCACACATTTGAAAACTATGAAGTAACATTAGCAGGAATTTGTTCTTCAGAGATATTTAATCAGAAATCTATGACTCATTTCTTCTTCGTCCCGCAGAAGCTGGTCTGATGCATAAGATCTCCTTACAAGCAGCCCTGCTCACAGTGTGCTTAATCATTTCTGCATGTGCCAGGTAATCTAGTTTTGCTTTCTTGAAATAACAGTTCATAACCGATGGGGAGCTATAAGTGGTGGATGATTTCCTTCCCCCTTTTACAAACTATTTTAGGCAGCTCAATGGCTAAGACTTGTTCATTTATCCGCCATGATAGTACCTTTAACTCTAAACATAGCCTCTCCATCCTCTACAGTACATAAAGAAGCCAGTGTACCTTGCCTAGAAATGGATTTTACCATGTGTTATCTTCTGTTTAAGTAGCGGTGGCAAGGGTAGTTACAATCTACATTCCCATTCCAGTGCATTCCAGAACACTTGAAATTCCCACTGAGTCCCCACTTCTCCTATTGTAGTTTGTATCCTAAAATACTGAAGAATCAAAAGATGTTCTCTAAAGAGTAACAATACTTACTTGGAACTAACAGAGTGCAACATGGGAACACATAGACAGCCATGGGTGAATTCAGAGGCTAAAAGAAGATGATGTTTATAAAGGGAGAAATAAAGAGAATAATATCAAGTATTTTGAAATGATAATGCTTGGCCAAAATGACTGACAATAAGGATGATATATTGAGATTGAAAAGAATTTGGTGGGCAAATGTCCCTGTAGAAGTACTTTGGATATAAGGTTGTATTGGGCTGGGAGAATTTTGGGGGCCTGGGTGGAGTCTTTTGGAATAGTTACTGTCAGGTAATTATGTTATTAATTTTTCATACTGTTCTGCATTTGCTTGTTTGTTGTTGGGGTTGATACAAGTGACTCTGTCTTACTTTGTCAACTTTCACCCAACTGTCAGTTTCAGAGAAGCCAACTTAGCAGTGCAGGATACACAACATTAAGTCCCGGATGTAGTTGTACTAACGCCTCCCTCCTATCCTTCATGTTCTTGCCATGCTTTCTTGGTCTGCCTTTTCCAAAGATTCTTGGGAAATTATCAAGTCCCTTCAGCACTCAGCCTGTTCATGCCTCAGGGTCTTTATTCATTGCCTGGTACAAATCTATTTCACTTACACTAGTAACATGCAACCACACTTCTTTCTGGACTCTCTTCACATTCTTTATTACAGAGACCTTTCCTGCAAGAGTGTGCAGACAGTATGATGTTGTAGACAGTATGGTGCTTTCCTTTACTTAAAAGCCCTTTCTACTCTTGACCCATTACTATATTTCAGTTATCCAAATTTTATAATAAGGCGAGCAATCTGCCAATGTCACACTTTGGCAAGTAAAAGTGTTTTTGGTACAAGCTAAATGTCTTGAGTTCAATACCCGGAACCCACACTGGAACAAGAAAATCAACTTCTGAAACTTACCCCTTTAACACACATGTGCCAGGAAAACATATACACATGTACACACACAAATCTTACAATGAGGTTGCGTGCATACACAAAATAGGTAAAATTTAAAGTATTTCCTATAGAATATGAACAATCCAGAAGGGCCATTGATGTATTGTTCTTACTTCCATATCCTCAATGACAATAGTTCATTGATATTTTTGTTTGAGTGGATGAGACGAAAAGAACAGTAAAGCCCTCAAAGCTCCACAATCTTTGGACTCTGGTGGGAAAATGCTACACTCTGAATTCCTGCATCCTGAGGGTCAAATGTCTCTGTATGGCTCAGGAAGGTTGATTTTTATAATACCAACTCCTAGATCCTCTCATTTGAGATATGAATTTAGTCCTATTGAGAACTGGTATTTTAAAACAAGCCTCCCACTTAATTATGAGGTTTGAGAAAGATTTTAGATCACAATGGGACCAAAAGAACAAAAGGAGGAGGATCTCTGGCTAAAAATGGATTGTAACATTCTTCATTGCATAGCCCAAGCTGGAAACTGATAATGTGTGTTAGGACAATAATGACTGGAAGAAATTATGCAGAGCAATCACAATCAGTATTCTTTTAACTAAGTGTGCTCCAAACTTCCAAGTTGGTCAGGAAACCCCGTTAGACAGGGCTATCAGTGAAACATTCCTCATGAGTTAACCTATGTGAATGCATTCAGCCTTGAGAAGTAGAGCTTAACTCCATGTTACCTTTGTGTGAACTGTGTTTAGAAACTAATTTCCAAAGGGTAGATAAAAGAAGAGAGGAGAAATGGTTTCTGTGGAGTATGGAGACAAGAACTGGTTGGCACCACCTCTGGCGACCAAGGCCAACATCAATGAGATGAGACTGATTATTGTATGTGCCCTTGACAGAGGGCAGTAATAATGGAACTCTACCTCCATGCCCCAAACCTTGGTCCAGGCATGAGAAAAATGAAGAAAAAAGTCTAAAAGAAGGACATTCAGCACATTGGAAGTCCTCCTCAAAGCCAGAAAGGCCATCAGGACCGTGTTGTCATACCCCAGAGGGGCCCAATTAGCCATGACCACTAAATGTAACGCGGTTCCTTGATGGGACCCTGGAACAGGAAAAGGCCATTAGGTGAAAACTGGTAACCCAAGTTTAAACATCTCATATCTGTACAGACGCAAGGATTTTTTTAAACGGGCTTTACCGAATTCATTCTTTGACAATTTCATACATGTATATAACATATCCTGATAATATTCATCCCTTCACCCTCTCTATCATCCTCTCACTTTACAGAATTTTAATGTGTACTTTGGGATTATAATTCAACATTATGGTTTGTTCACTTTTTTTAAAAAAAAAATATTGCTGGGCATTGGTGGCACACGCCTTTAATCCCAGCACTCAGGAGGCAGAGGCAAGTGGATCTTTGTGAGTTCGAAGCCAGCCTGGTCTACAAGAGCTAGTTCCAGGACAGGTTCCAAAGCTACAGAGAAACCCTGTCTCAAAAAACCAAAAAAAAAAAAAAAAAAAAAGAAAAAAGAAAAAAAAACCACCCCCACCCAAAAAAACCAACAACAAAATATTCTTGCTCAATCTTCTATTGGGAACTCTTGCAATCTTGCAGATTAGCTACTATGGCCCTTTCCTATACCTCTATATTTTATATTTACTTTGTGTGTGTGTTTCCTATAACCCAAGATGCTCTTTAATTCTCTATGCAGCTGTACTTCTCCACCTCTTGATTCTATCACCCAAGTGCTAGACCACACCTGGCTTTTGCTTTCCTTAGAAAAAGCTATTTAATAGCAATTAAAATCAACCAACATCTATAATGCTGGCAACATACACAGTTAACTTGAAATGATAACAGTATAGCAACGAGGAATAAAAACATGAAGACAGTCCTGTGAGAATGCACCACCATATACTGACAGTGATAGTGAGTCACTATCATCTGTAAGTTGACTCCTGATTTGAAAGAATGTACATGTCCCTTTAAACCGATGAGATAAGGCTTGTATGCAAAGCTGACATTCACTTGGCCAGCTCAACCAAAGATCTTTAGTCACATTGGGTTTTTATTCTCCTCATGCTTTTATCCAAATTTCGCAATCAGTAAATCTTATTTCTGCCTCAAAATATATTATGAATCATCATTGTTTAGTACTTCCATATTCCTTATATTTTTTAGAAAACAATTAAGTAACAAATAATTCAGACTCACCTTGTATCTGCCCTAGCTTTAGTCATTTCTCTGAAATCCCCAGAATTGATCAGAGTGCCAAGTACTCATTGATATTAAAATATGATTGCTTCTAGGCCATGTACAGACAGAAATGAAGGATATTTGTGCATATATAATACCCTTGACACACATGTGTGTGGAATATATGTATTAACCCAAATGTGTTTATATTAATATATCTAACCCTAACCCAATGTCATACGATTCATGCCAGGTTTTCCTGTCACCTCAATTTTCACCACTTTGTACTGAATTGATTCAGTCTTTCTGTATATGTGCAGAAGTTGTTGACTTAGTAACTCATACCTGCATAAAAGGCAGTCTTACTGATGCAAACACAATATTTATGCTTAATTCCTCCCATCTCTGGTCTTAGAGTTCCAGTTGAAGCTCCATTTCCTGAATTTATCTAGATTGGTACCTCTTGCCTTCTTCCAAGTGAGGTTACATCATCCATTTGTAACACAGTTATTTTCTTTTGTCAACATCTTATCCTCAAGGTTTCCAATATTCTTACTGAATTTTTTTTTAGTTCTAACACACTGATAGTCAGTAACTTGAATGATTCTCCTCAATAAATAGGCCAAGATTGATAAATCTTTAGCCAAATTAACCAAAAGATGGATAGAGAAGATCCAAGTTAAGAAAATTAAAGGTAAAGGAAGAGACATTACAACAGACACTGCGGAAATTCAGAGAATCATAAGGACATACTTTAAAAAAAATCTGTATTACACCAAACTAGAAAACCTCAACAATTGGATGAATTTCTTGATCTATTTGAGCAACAATAGTTAAATCAAGATAAAATGTACAATTTAAACAGACCTATAACCCCTAGTGAAATAGAAGCAGCAATTAAAATCCTTCAAAATAACTCTGAGATTCCATCTTATATGTCTGAGAATGGCCAAGATCAAAAACACTGATGACAACCTATGCTGAAGAGGATATAGGGTAAAGGAAACACTCCTCCATTGCTGGTGGGAATGCAAGCTGGTACAACCCCTTTGGATATCAGTATGGTGAATTCTCAGAAAATTAGGAAATAACCTTTCTCGAGACCCAGCAATACCACTTTTGGGTATATACCCAAAAGATACTCAATTGTACCACAAGGACATGTGCTTAACTACATTCCTAGCAACATTGTCTGTTACAGCCAGAACCTGGAAACAACCTAGATGCCCCTCAACTGAAGAATGGATAAGGAAAGTGTGGTACATTTACACAATGAAGTACTACACAGCTGAAAAAAATGACATCTTGAAATTTGTGGACAAATAGATGTACCTAGAAAACATCATATTGAGTGAGGTAACCCAGATCTAGAAAGACAAATATCATATGTACTCACTCATAAGTGGCTTTTAAACATAAAGCAAAGAAAAACCAGGCTACAATTTGCAATGCCAGAAAACCTAGACAACAATATGGACCCCAAGAGAGACATACATGGATCTAATGTACATGGGAAGCAGAAAAAGACAAGATCTCCTGAGTAAATTGGGAGCATGGGGACCATGGGTGAGAGTAGAAGGGGAGCGGACAGGAAAGGAGGGGGTGGAAAAAATATATAGCTCAATTAAAAAAAATTTAAAAATTTAAATAAATTTTAAAAAATGAAGCAAATTGAAAGAGAGATAGCAAGATGAAATAAGTCAATTATAAACTCTCAGTACCCTTCTGCATGAACGCTTCCTCCCTCAGACTCCACTTCCTAAAGTTTCAATGACCTTCTCAAACAGTGTCACCTGCTAGAGACCAAGTTGAGATAAATGTGGCGATGGGAAATATTTTTCACTCCAGAGCACAGCAATAGATTTTGGAACACTCTTCACCATTACTTTTGATCATCCTTTCTGGGGTGTTTTCCTTCTTCTCTGTCAAGGAGGACATCAATTCTGCATGTTAGAGAGACTGTGGGATGGTCTTAGAGCTCTTGGCTGCTCTGTTCTTTTCCTCAGTTTTTGTGTAATGTCTTCACTGGAAAAATTTCTACTGCCCTAGTTTGTTCAGTGAGGTTTCTTTCTACTGTGCCTAGTTTGCCAATAAATCTATTAAGAGAAAAAAAAAAAGAACAAAAGCTCTTACAGCAGTCCCAAGTTCAGGTTCCAAAACCCTCATTGGGGGTCATAATAGCCTGTTTAATACCTCTGACGTCCACCTTTGTGGGCTCTGCACTCACAGGCACATACTGTCCCTCCTACATGCATAGAAACACACATAATCAAAAACAAAAATCTTTTTTTTTAAAAAAAAAATCCATTTAGTGCATTTATGTGTTTCTAATTCAGGGTTCTTTGTCTCTTTTGTCACCCTGTCTGTCCTTTTGCTGAAACATACTATTTTTATTTTGCATCTATACAGTCAGTCTTGACATTCAGAGTCTATTCTTGGTCGGAAAGAACACTTGATGTGTTGGGAATACAGGATTAATATGCTACAATAACACAATTGTGTTTTTTTCAGATGGTTTATGGGAGGAGAATTAGCCAGCATCTTTACCTGCACAGTGGTGATCACAGCAGCTTGTAAGTAACTTTTCCAAGGTTGATGCTCTAATTCTTGAACTTTTCTCAAATAATGATCATTTAAATAAAAATCAATGTGTATTTCTCTTTTCTACCCAAGACGTTGCAAAGCCACTGTTTCTCAGCCTTGCCAGATATTTCAAAGCCACCACCTGGGCTAAGTAAGTGCTGCCTTTGATGTCATCACTGTTTAATCAAAGATGTCAGAATCTGGTGTTTGTGGCAGGTCTCTGCTGAGTGAGAGATGGTGAGGGCCACATAGGTGAACAGCCCCACCAGCATGCGAAGAACACTTTTTTTTTACTGATAAAACCTAGCAACAGTCATAGAAATACACTTAGTCTCAAAATAACTAGGATGATATTTTAGGGCCTCAAGACATTGGAAATAATAGGAAAATCAGTGTCCTCAATTCTTTTTAAAAGTGTTGTTAGAGATTCATGACATTGCACTTTCAAAACTTTTCCTAGTAAGATGTCTTTATGATACAGCTTCCCAAATGCCTGGCAAAGTGCCCGTGAAATGATCTGTTATGAGCTACAATCTTTCCACCCTTGCTAACTCTCCTAATGAGAATTTCAGAGGGCTTCTACGATCTAGGAGATGCTCACAGAATTTAAAGCAGGCTCCTCAGGCTCATCTCATTGCAAGACAGGCTGTGTTGTTGACCTTCACTGGGGTTATTGAGACCAGCTACCTACAGTGGCTTGAAGATAGAGCAGGGTCTGCAAATCAAATCAGTTTACTTGCCAATGAACTTGCCTCTCTGCATCCTTGTTCATGATATCTTGGTCCTGATTCTGAAATCACAGTGGGGTAAGTAGAGATTTATTTTCTTTACAACTCTAAGTAATATGGAGAATTTACTGACACTCTGAGTGACCTTTCCCATAATTCCCAGCCATTCAGGTTTCTGAACACAGCCATTGATGTAACTAAGATTCGTAGAATCTACTAGTGAGATAATTGGGTGTTGGTGCCATCTCCCAAGTCCCTGTTCTTTAACCTTTGTTAGTCACATTTATTTAAAATTCTTCTAAGATAACTGTTTACCTCCTATTTATGTTCGAGGTCATTTTAGACCTAAGTGGAGGCTCCCAGGCTTCATTATCCAGTCCTACCTACAGCTTTTTTTTTCTTTAGGTAGGATCAAGTATTCTGACTTAGTCGTCTTTATTTTTGACAGTTTCATTCATTCATATGTGAATATATATATATAGTTTATATTACATATATAATAAATTTTAGTCACTTGTGTCCATTCTTACCCTATTTCAGTTCCTCATCTTCTTCTGCTGAAACCCTCCTTCCTACTAAGTACCCCTCTTATTTTTCATATCTTTTTTTGTATCTGTGACCCACTGAGTTAAAATGAATACAGAGGGCGCTTATTTATTGAAGCGTGAGCAACTTACCAGTGGCTACACCACTGAAGAAAGTGACAACCTTTCCCTAACCATCATTCACTCTCAATAGTCCCTCGGGGAAGGGTGTGACCTTCTGAGCCCTTCCCCTTCCCATGATGAAATTTTGATGGGTTCAGTCTCCTACGGATCTTCTGCAGGCAACCAAAACTTCAGTGAGTTCACAGACACCTCACCTGGGGTGTGTCATACCCGTGTGACTTGTATTGTCAGTGCTGCTCTTCACCTCTAGCGCTTATACTTTTTAACCCTGTCATTCTGTGATGTTCCATGGTGGTTCAGTTTTGTATGCCAAGATGACACCAGCCAGTACTAGACTAGCAGAGACAGTCCCAGCATTTCCTAGCGTGTTCAAGACCTTAGGCTTGAGCATCAGAGCCAACAAAATGAAAGGGAGCAAAAACGTGACCTGAAGTGTAGCCCAGATGTATAAAGCTTGCTTCGGAATGCACAAGGCTTACATTTGAGCTCTAGCACCACAATAAACAAACAAACAAACAAAAAAGAACATTTTTTTTAACCCAAGGAGCAATTGAAACCCAAAGTCCAGTAGCAATAGCATGGTTAAGGTTTGCTAGAGAGTGAGATATATATATGAATCACTCCTAATAAAAAAATTAAATGTACAATTAATTGGAAAGATGCATTGCCATCAGGTATAGAAGAATTCCTCAAAATGGGGATGAGGGTAGGGCTTTTAGGCTCTAAAGCCATGGAGGAGCTATCTTCTGCCCCCATTCTAGGCCTTCTGAATCCAAGTCCTGAAGGTCTTTAGTTATAACAGTCTCTCTGGGTAATTCTTTGTACATTTGCAATGATAATATTGGAAAGATGATTTCTGTACCTTTTACTCCTTGATTTGTGGCATCGCTTAGCCTACCAAAACTCTGCTGGGAACTGTGCTCTGTACCAAGTACGGTGCTCAGTTCTTCTGAACAGTCATGAAATAAGTATTCAACATGGGTTCCAAGGTCACAAAACCAAGGCACGTGGCCAGTCTTAATACTTTAGAGCTTAATAATAGAAAAATACATACAATAAGCAGGGTAATTTTTTTTATAAATGGTAAATAAAAATATGGAGCTAGTAATTAGGCCGAGACTGGGAGAGGCAGGCCTTTCTGAAAGAGGTACGGTGTGAGATGAAATGCCACAGTTAATTTCCCAAGTTGGATTTTAGGTATCTCACCATTGCTCTGAGTTCTTTCCTTATTCTCTCCTAAAAGCAAATACATCAAGACTGCATGTCTATTCTGCACTGACATTCTCATCTGCATCTTCATTTATAGGAAAAGATCCTTTCTCTAATGATTTATATACATACTTTGGCCGCCTCCTCCTCTCCTCTTCTTCCTCTCTTATTGTCTCTCCATTTTTTTCTGCTTTCTGCACACCAGCTTGCCTGTACACATGCCCTTACATTGAAGACCTGTGAAGACAAGAAGTGTACACACCCCAATGCGCTTAAAATAGTAGGTGCTCTATGCATATTCATCAGCCCAAAGATGTTTTCTGCATCATTGCTTGAAGGACTCCTTTTACAGCAAAGAGTTCTGTGCCTGTGCATCCACCATACTGCAACTCTTTCCTTTTTGCTTGAATGTATCTAAGAGATAATGAGACACATACATGGTGATTAATATCAAGAGTCAAGAATGACTCATAAGTCTCCTCTCACAATCAGTGATGAGTGCCGAAGGAATTGGGGGAAGTTACTGAGTTCAGTTCAACAGACATCCACACTGCAACCCTCCCATGCTCATCTTGCACTTTGCGAGGATGAATTCGATTAGGTACCTCGTTCTTGGCATTTCAGTCCTCTCAAGTCATATCTCTTTTTACATCATAAATCAATTTCTTTTCACCCACATTCCCCCATGAATTTGAAGTCTACAGTTGTGAGGGTTGTGCTACTTACTCATCGTGGCTGGAGCAGCCCTTACTCCTGAAGGTCATCACAGGTGTCCCATGCCTCTCACGATTTCTTTAATCATCAGTACGCATGCTCTGCATTCCTTTGACAGACACCCTGTACCAGAGCAGGTAGAAAATTGCCCCAGTTTCATTTATGTTGCCATAATAAAATGTCCTGAGAAAAATCAATATAGGAGAGGAATGGGTATGTTTGGCCTAAAATTTTCGGTTACAGACTGTCACTAAGGGGAAATCAAGTATCTACTCAGGAACTTGAGTATCTACTCACATTGCATCCACTGTGTAGTGCAAAAATAAAAAATGCATCCTTTCTCCTTTCAGCTAGCTTTGTTTGTTTGGTTGGTTGGTTTTGATCTTTATATTGTCAGGGCTCCCCTGCCAAGGCTGCCCACAACAGACTGGGTCTTCTCACTTCAATTAACAGTTATAACAATTCTTTACAGACATGCCGATCTAGGTAATTCCTCTCCTGAGGCTCTCTTCTCAAGTAAAGAGGTTGGGTCAAGTTAACAGTTAAAAGTAACCAGAATACACACGTGCTTTCTACTTTTAGGTGGAAACTTTTCATTCATGTTTATAATGTATGAATCAATTAACTGTATAGTTAAGTCATGGAAACTACAGTCACATTACTCTCTAGGCCAGCGGTTCTCAACTTGTGGGTTCTGGCCCCATTGCAGGGGTGGGGCTAATGACCCTTCTCACAAGGGTCACATATCAGATGCCCTGCATATTAGATATTTATATTATGATTCATAACTGTAATAAAGTTACAGTTATGGAGTGGCAGTGAAAATAATTTTATGGGTTGGGGTCACCACAACATGAGGAACTGTATTAAAGAGTCGGAAGACTAGGAAGCTTGAGAACCACTGCTCTAGACTCTCCTCTTGGGATGGTGCAGATGAGAAAATATTATAAAATGGTGATTAGCCAATTTTTTGTGGTGAACTTTAAAGGTCAAGACCCCTGTGGTTTCTGAGGAAAGGTCATTGAAGACTGCCAGTGGGAAATTGATGTAGAGTTAACCTAAGTTGGCCCTCTGCTCTTACTAGTTGTGATTGTTTAGGCTCCTTTGTGTATAATTAGATACTGCAGTGTGTGTGTGTGTGTGTGTGTGTGTGTGTGTGTGTGTGTCTACGCGCGCATGCGCGCATGAGCGTATGAATCATTTATTCCTCTTTTCTTTCTCATCTAGATTTGACAGCCCTTGAGGAATACCTGTAATGAATGTCTTCAGTCTGACTATCTGGAAACACAATTTGTAGTCTACTTGGAATGAATCAACCACTTTATTGGAAGGGGATGAACAAAAGGATAACTGAGAAAAAAAAACTTTAATTTGACCAAGTAATTTCTTTCTAAAAATCTCAATTTCCACATGTAACAGTAATTGATCTTGACATCAATATTAAATTTCTTTTCTTTCATGAACGCTGTCAGTTGAAAGGGAAGGGATGGGAGACAGTGACAGAGCACAGACCACCTGGAGTTATCGTCCCCTGTTGTTCCCAAGGCGATGGACCTCAAACATTAATTTTAATTAGAGAGTTCTGCGAGTGGCTTGAAGCATAAATATCTCTGGTCTGCCAGCATGCGGCTATGCCTCGCTGACCTACTTTAAACAATGCAAACAAGTTCATATAGTTAATGCATGCTGTATAAGAATTAGGAACAGTTTCTACATACAATGTATTGTTGCAAAAATTCATCCCGTTTTGAAACATCCATTGATGGTGATGTTAGGTGCTGTGGTTTGTCTCCAAATGTCCATGTGTTGAAAGCCTGATTTCTGTGGGACAAGTGGGGCAGTGTTAAGCAGTGGTAGGACATTTAAGAAACAGAACCAGTGGAACATTTTAGCTTGTTGGCGAACTTTCTTCAGAATGTGTAAATGATCAAACCCTCAGTCTGTCTCTAGCTTTCTGTCCACCCCTTGGTCCTTAAGGAACTTTTATGTATCACATTTTCATCACAATTTGAATTAAAATGATCTTTATTCCACAGAAATAAAAAGAAAAACACCAATGAAAGCCATTCAAGAAAAGAATTAGTATTTCAACAAGCAGCTCTCTCCCTTGCTCATTTTTCATCTTTGGCTCCCATTACTATAATGAAATACCCAAGGTAAAATAGCTAGAAATGAAAAAGGATTCCTATGGCCCACAGTTCCGGAGGTTCAAACGCAGGTGCCAGCATCTCCTTCATTCTAGTGGTGATTTCAAGGTATTTGGCATCACATCACATAGGAGGTTTGGGAGCAAGAAATCATTTGTTTATAGATTACTAAACCAAAGATGCTCTGGTGTTGCTAGTGGTTTTCACTGGAGACTTCAATACATTAGGAAGATTTCCAGGTTCCCTAAAAAAAAAGTAATCCTAAGCCAGGTAGTGGTGGTACACACCTTTAATCCCAGCACTTGGGAGGCAGACGCAGGCAGAACTCAGTGAGGCCAGCCTGGTCTACAAAGCAAGTTCCAGTACAGCCAGGACTATTACGAAGAAAAATACTCTCAAAAAAAACCCCACCCCCCACCATACATGTTAAAAATAAAAAAAAAAAATCCTTAAGGATAAAATAAAGGGAAAATTCGAGTGTTTGAAAACACAAGGAAATGGTAAAACTAAATAATTGGCTTAAAAGTTATAGAAGACACCTATTCTTCTTACCTCTCACCAGGAAATTTCAGATAGGGACCGCTGAGGATGCTCTATGCTATCTCCTCTGGTAAGAAACTTCTGTGTGTAGAAAACTATATACATTAAAGTGATAATGCCATATTAACCGCTTTTGTAGTTAACCCTGTGGCAGTTAATAGTCACTGTCAGCTTGACTCTATGTAGCATAACCTTTTAGACACATCTTTAGGCATGTCTGTGTGGTTGTTTCCAGAGAAATTTAACTGAAGAGAGAAGACTTGCCCTGAATATGGGTACCAACATCTCATGGGCTGATATCTTGGTCTGAATAAAAAAGAGGAAGGGGGAAAGGAAGCTGAGTATCAGCATCCATCTCTCTCTCTTTCTTGACTGTGGACACAATGTGGTCAGTTGCCCAGGCTTCTGCTTCTTGCCTTCCAATCATGATGAACTGTATCCCTTTAAACTTTGAGCCAAACTTTTCTTTCCTTAAGTTGCTTTGGTCAGGTATTTTATCAAAGCAATAAGAAAAGTAACTAATATAATATCACTTTTTTGCTTCTATACCTTTTGGTTGAATGAAATTATACTAATAAGTAAGCAGACTCACCATCAAAATACATATATAGTATGTGTGTCATATAATTTTTATTTACCTATGTACATATACCTTCCACACACCTATTAGTCTTGATTATTAGGATTTTCTGCTCATTTGTTTTTACTAGTTTATTTGGGTTTTGACCTTTTTTGTGTTTGTTTTCAGAAATAGGATCTTTTCATTCTACAGTTCCCAAATAGCCTAGAATTCTCTCTGTAAGTCAGGCTGGCTTTGAACTCATGACAATCCTCCTGTCCTAGCCTTCTGAGTGTTGTGATGACAGTCATGAGTCTTGAAGAGCAACTGTGTACTTTTACTTTAAATTACATGAATGTCCTATGTATTTTATGGGTTAGATGGCATAGGGATATTTTTTCCTAAATGCATTGCTTGTGTTTTTCACTTTGTTGATGTTTCTTTAGCTGTGCATAAGTTTTTAATTTAATATACTCCCACATGTTTATTTTTATTTTTTTTGCCTGAGATTTCTGTATGGTAATAAAAAAAATGATTGCCAAAGCCAATATCAACAAGCCTTTTTTTCCCCCTCCTGTTTCCCATGGTTTCAAGGTTTACATTTAGGACTTCAACACCTTTTGAGTTGATATTACATATGGCATGTTGTAGTTTAGATATGGGATGCCCCCACCAACTCACATGGTGAAGCTTTGGTTGAAAACTGATGACACAGTTGAGAAGTGGTAGGAACTTTGGACAGTGGACCTAGGGAGGTAATTTGTCACTGGAAATAGACCCATGAAAGGCATGTTGGGACTTGGCCCCTTCCTATCCAAGCTTCCTTGAGTTAAGCGCCTTTGTTTCAACACCATTTCTCTACCATGATGTTTGCCTTCAAGTAGCCAGGGGTTGAAATGCTTAAACTTGTGAGCACAACTGATCTTTTCTTCCTGTGGTTATTTATGACAGGTATTTTTGTTAGATGCTGTTAGGTAGGGATTTGATTTCATTATTTTGCATGTAGATATTCCGTTTTCTCAATAGTGTCCTTATTCTGTCCCAATAGTGCTTCGAAAGTAGTCATGAATGAGATTTTAAGACACTGTGATCATTGATGCTTTAGGTGATTCTGTCCCTGTGGTTTCTTTTCTTCCACTATTAATCAAGAATCTAGAAACTCTAACCACATGTATTCTAGAGAGCAGGTGCTGGATTTTGTGGTAAGTCTTCACATCACTTACCAACTGCCTCTGCTTCACAGTCCAGCTCTTCTGACCTCTTGAAGGTGTTGAAATGTGACTGGTGTTAATTTTTCCAGCTATTTCAATGAAGTTCATTGTCTTAAATGTTACTGGAGAAGAACTGCAAGATATCTTTTTCCTTCTGGGATGTCACAACATATTCATAATTGCTAAATGGTCTAAGAAAATATTTATTGCTTATCAAGATATCCTGAACTTCTTAAATTGAGATATTTGGCCTCAAAGCAACAAGTAAAGCTTGCCAGGAGAAAAATATGGCACCGTCCAGATCTGGAGCAAGGCAGGGATATATGCATTGTGTTTTGCCTCATCATCTCCAACCACAGCATCACTGATTTAGTATACAAAATATGGGGTTCATAAGAAAGGATTATTTTGATTAACCATTTCCAACTCTTCTTTTAAAGTTTATCCAAAATATGAAACTGTGACAAAATCATTATAATTTTATATCAGAATAACAAATGTGCATTTGATCTCTGTCTCTGCTCCCTGACACAGAGCTAATAACCCTGACAATTTCCTGGGCAACAGGGATGATGGGAACATCTTACACAGAGCTGCTGAAACCTTTGGGATTTTCTAAACGTCAGGTGTGTCTTCTAATCTAATGAAGACACTCTTAATGAACTCCTGGACAGTCTAAGGAAGAGGACTGGTCACTAGAAAGAGCAAAATATGTTTAGATGCCTGGAATCCTAAACCCCTTCTTGTAGTAGGAGTTCTTGTAGTAGGAAGGATGATAGGTTCAAAGACTGACATAACTGTGGATCATAATCTGTGATGAAGCCTCCACAAAAATCTGTCAAGTGTGACATTTGGACACCTTCTTGGCTATTATTCATTTGCAGGGTGAGTGGAAGATGTACCCAAACTCAACAGCAGCAGAGTCCACCTAGCTCTTCATTGACTTTGCTCTGATACTGATTCATCTGTTCATGCATTATATTCTGATGACATGTTCTACTGTAAATCACTAAGTGTAATAACACTTTATTATCTGAGTTCAGCCCTCGGTTACTAAAAACTTTAACACAAACAGGTAGCTGTGATGAATTCCTACGTGTAATCAAGTCAGATGGGAACATGGGAACCAACAAAGGGACCCACTTCCTGTGATTGACATCTTAAGTGGAGGATTAGAGAACTGTTTTCCTTTAATAGTTTATACACACGTAACTCTTTATAAAGAGTAATAGTCTTAAAGCAAAAATGACATAGGTTTTGGAGAGACTGGGAGATGGCATGGAGTCAGTCTCCCCTGCTTGGAAACAATCTTAGTAGCACCAGTGTGGTACCAAAGTCCTGGAGGAGTCTTGATGTTCTACTGGTCTTTGGCCCATGCTGGAACCAGAAGATGCTGGAGTCTGATATTACCAAAGGCTGTGAGCAGCAGCTACAATGAAGGGATAAATACACTCACTGTGAAGAAATGAAGACAGGCAGGTAAACATCATTGTTTTCTGTTTTTTTTGTTTTTTGATTTTTTTTTTTTGACCTGACTTCTGTATCTGGACAACTCTGAAAGGTGCTGTCCCCTCTGGGGAAATGTTTTCCAATCTCAGATAATCGTCCCTGGAAGTACTTTCACAGATCTTCCCAGAGGCATGCCTCTTAGTTGATAAATGATCAGAACGAGGTGACAATCAAGACTGTATTTGTTCAGTGCATGTTTGCATAACCCAATGGTAGGTCAAGAGCCAAGCTAACACCTGGCAATGTGATACTAGAGAAGACAAATTAGGTCTCTACTATTGTGAGGTATGATAGTAATTTAGTTTCTTTTCACTCTCTAAAATAATACTGAGAAAGACATTATTTAAAAATGTTTTATTGAGGATTGGAGAGATGGTTCAGTGGTTAAGAGCACTGGCCGCTCTTCTAGAGGACTTGGGTTCAATTCCCAGCACTCACATGGCAGCTCACAACTATCTGTAAACTCCAGTTCCAGGAGATCTGACCCCCTCACACAG